TCCCTTGGGTCCCTGGGGCATCTCCCTTCACTGCCCCATCTGAGACAGAGTCGGGGGCCAGGGGTGGTTGCCCTTGTCTTTCAGCTGTTACTGCCCAGCATCCCCGGGAGTGGTGGGATGCCAGGCCAGAGGGCTAAGACCTTGCAGTCTCAAGTTAGTGCCTGCCACCTCCTCAGGGCCCCCCTCGACCTCGGTTTCTCTTGCCCTGCTGTGGCTTCCCATGGCATCTACTGCTTAGACCACCTGTGGGCACTGCAAAAAAAGTCGTTATGGGGCGCCCTTTGTGTTTTTTTTTAAAGTATTTTATTTAACTTTATTTTAATTTGACCAGAGAGGAACGGGCGGGGGGTGGGGGAGGGAGAGGAGAGAGAAAGCCACCAGGTCCAAGACTCGAACCACAGTCAGCCATATGGGAGTCCAGCGCCTTTAACCACCATGCCACCTGCTAGCCCAGCCCATTTCCTTTTGACCTTTGTCCCTCTCCCACCCTCACGTCAGGCTCATATGAAAATCAGGGCCGGGCTGTCCAAGGCCCTCACTTCCCTCCTAACTCCTGTGAGCTCCAGCGGCCCCACTCCAAGTGTGTCTTCTCCCTGCCTTCCTCCACCGTCGAGTGGCCTGCACCTCTTAGAGGCCCCGGCAGCCCTGCTTTTTCTGCCTTCTGGAGACACAGGTGTCCCTAGTGAGACCTCCCCGTCACGGGGAGGAACTGAGAGGACGAGGTAACGAGACGATGGCTTTCGGCCTCCTACACCTCAGGAATGTTAGTCTGCCTTTTCTGCAGAAAATGTGGGATTACTATGGACTGTTTCTGTTGGGTTCCATCTCCTGGCTCCCCGGCTCTATCCCCAGCCCTCTCTGCACCCCGCATCACAACCCCTCAGACACGCCCCTCTAGCCCGCACTGACCTCGCAGCCCCTGGTCTTCGCCTGCAGATTCCCGTACACCCGTGAGAGCAAGTGCTCCGTAGCTCTGCGTTGGGTCCCTCGTGGCCTCACCCTGGCCCTTGCCCAGCACGACCCCAGTGCTGTTTGTCCTGTGGTGATCACATGAGCAGGTATGCAGCCTCTGTTGCCGCGGAGCTGGTGCAAGTCATTCCACCTCTTTCCAGCCAAGTGCCCTCCCCTCCTTTTAGGCCTAGCCTCAAGGTGTGTCCTGACTTCTCAGCTGGGCTGGGAGCACGTGAAGTGCATTTCCTGTGCCTGATTCCCGGGAGGCTGGATGTAGCTGCCCTGAGCCCGGCAGCTCCCAGGAGGGAGCACTTCAGGACTCTGGGGAGGCAGGTCAGGATTCTGGCATCCTGGTGAGCCCAGGCCTGTAGCTCTGAGCGCAGGGACTAAGAGATGCCCTTGGGGTGGTGGGAAGCCAGGCAGAGGCCAGGACGTGGATGGGCTGGTGAACCACGCAGCCTGAAGTGGTCAAGCCCGGCATGGGGTCTCCAATGTCTTAGCAAAGTTGGTCCCTAGAATATCGGTGTGACCGAAGGAGGCAGGAGCTGCTCATGGATACGAAGGCCTGGCTTTGAGGACCCTTGGCTGGGATAAGAAGTAACCTGGAAGAGACACTGGGTTCACACCCCAGGTGACCCTGGGAGGATGGGGGGTCGGGGATGGATCAAAACCCTCAGCCTGGTACCAGCTGGAAACTAGGGGGCCCAGGAGTTAACGAGGTTTCTGACCACCGAGAGTTTTGGCTCAAGAAGTGCTGAGGTCCGGTGTCCTGGCCAGAAGGAAAGTGAAAGTGAGATGGAGGGTGGGGGCAGCACTTTCCCAGAAGGATCCCTGATCCTGCTCTTCCCAGAACCAGCTCGGGATGTGGAGATGACAGCGCCTCAGTGACAGGTGAGTCCCGGGCCACACAGTGGGGGTGTCTCATTTCTAAGGAAGGGGTGTGATTGCACTAGCTGACATAATAGAGGAGCTAGGATGCGATGACTGTCACTGGAGCGTCCCCGCCTGTGCTCAGTTCCTGTCCTTGTGGTTTCCAGCTGGGCAGATGGACAAGGCAGTCACTAGCAGTGCCTGGCAGCCCCCGATGTTCCAGGGAAGAGAGCCCCGGGATCTGGCACGAAGTACATGTACGTGAAAATGTGGGACTTTACTCCTCCCCTTCCCGAAAAGGAGGAAGTTGTCCAGTACATAGAGCCCGGCCCGCCAGTTCCTGACACATGTCACGACCATGAGGCAGAACCCGACACTAGGTGAGGTGTGGGGCCATGCATGGCCGGAGGGATGGGGTCTGGGCTGTGAACACGGCAGCTTCACCCGGTGAATCCATCCGCCCCAGCTGTGGCGCCACGGCTTAGGCGTCTATGCAGACGCTGGGGCTCTGGCTTCCTTCAGAGGGCTGGGGGTGGGGGCTGCGGAGCTCTGACTCCCTGGCCAGGGCCCAGGAATCTCGGGTCCGGAGCTAGCTTAACCAGGCTGCAGCCCAGTCCGCGTGTTGCCAGGAGCCCAGGCAGCTGCTGACCTGTCTCTCTGCAGCCCCTCATCTCTGGGGCCTCACCCATACCTGAGAACATCACAGCTGCCACTGCCTCAGCCGGGACTGCCAAGGACCCCTCCTCAGCCGAGACTGCCAAGGACCCCTCCTGTTCGCCGCCTGCAGCGCTCCCAACAGCCCAGCCATGCCCAGGTCTGGCGGTGACCTGGCCAGAGACGGAAGTGCCACTAAGTAAGGAGCAAGCTTGGTGGGAGTCTCAGGCACTTGTTCAGAGACCCAGGGTCAAGCTGATTGCTAAGTTCCCACACCAAACTTGCTTGGCCGAGCGCTGGCCATTCTCCCCAGCCCAGCGTAGTGGGTGGGAGGTGGGGAGGTTCAGGGCCTGCTCCCTAGCAGATGGGACAGAGAGAACTTGGACCTGGGAAGTTAGACCTGGGGCACTGCCTCCTTGGCCTGAGTGTAGG